AAAGTTAATGCTCAGCCCATAACATCCTAAGTGGAATGTTTTATTTATGAAAAGATAAACGATTTTAAAATTCAAGTTTATTAAGAGAAATAATGTTTCCATCATCCCTTCCTTTCCCCCTTTTATATCACAAAGCAAGTGGATGTAGAACATGGGTTTTTTTCACGGACTAGAGAAGATATCCATTCCACCCATTATCTAGGCCATGATTTTTTTCTTATATTAGCTTTATTTTTAAATAATTTTTTGTTTACAGAAAAGTTACAGAGATAGTAGAGTTCTCGTATACCCTTCACTCAGCTTTGCCTGATGTTTATATTTTCTATAATCATGCTATGAAGTTGGAGATTACAGAATTAACATTAGTACAATATTCAGATGTATTCTGATATCCCAGTTTTTCTACTGCCCTCTTCTTTTCAGCGCAACTTATGAATCCACATTAAACTTAGTGCATTAACGTCCTCCAAGTTGTGATTGTTTCTTGTTCTCTCCTCGCCTTTCAGGACCTTAACTGTTCTGAGGAGAACTGGTTAGGTATTTTACAGAGTGTCCCTCAATTTCAGTCTGTTTAATGTTTTTTCATGATTAGACTATCCTTTATTTTTTTCTCTCATTTTTTTTTTCTTATTGCATTTTAGGTTTGGGGGTACATGTGAAGAACATGTACATGCTGCCTTCCTCCCCTTCACCTATATCTGGCATTTCTCCCCATGCTATCTCTCCCCAATTCCCCACCCCCCGCTGTCCCTCCCCTATTTCCCCCCTATAGACCCCCGTGTGTGAAGCTCCCCTCCCTGTGTTCATGTGTTCTCATTGTCCTTATAGCTTTGGTGGAAGAAAACAAGAGAGGTGATGTTAGGTCATGAATGTTTATTCTTGATGCATAAGGATAAACTCTGGAGGAAATAAGAAGCTTCTTTTTCTGGATCCCAGAGATGGCAGGGAGAGAAAAGAGACAGAAATAGGGCAAGTAAGTAAGATGATCTTAGGGTTTTCGTTTTTATTCTCTTCTCAATACACACCTTTTTGGGGCTAACCCTTATGGGAAGGGCAACTTAGTTCCAGCTAGATGGATACAGGGTTATCACAGGTCATTGGGTTAGTGGCTCACTTTCCCAGATGAAGGCTCTGGGAAGTTGTGTGCTGGTAAATGTTTAACAAGTGGCTGGGAGGCAGGGAGGTAGGGGAAGGTGAAACACTGATTTGTTGTATTTGCCAATTTCCATGATGTAAATAATCCTAACATGGCTGATTTCAAGCTACCCAAGTGATGTCACTGAATGCAGAGTTGGGAAGCACTGTGTGGCAGTGCACCATCAAATACCATGATGTGATATTTCCACCATACACATATAATAGGCATAGATAGTAGTAACGTGTAGAACAATAAATAGGAAGTGATACGTTGGGGGGCACTATCTTTATTTTTAATGTAATTTATTTGGTTATAAGTTTATAATATTTAATTTTCAACAATGGCTGCATTTAAAAGCTGGCTCACAAAATCCCTGAAAATTTAAGAATCAGCTAAAGTATAAGCAGCCTCCAGCAATCCCCTGCTTCTAGAAGACTGATCGTTTGGCTCAGCACCACATTCCACGTGACTCAGGCGGTACAGAGGTGGCAGCAGAAGGTGGGTAGCTATATCGGACTTAGAAAGCATCTGTCTTGTCATAGCTTTTGTGTGGGAAGCAGGAGTCACCAGGTTTCTTACTTCCCCACTTAGAGTGTTGGTGGACTGGCAGAAGTCTAGGGGAAAAGAGGTGATGGGGCCTTTTTGATGTTAGGGGAAATGTTCAGAACTATGGCAGTAGTGGTAATGGCCAGCACACAACATTCCAAAAGATCAATTGGGTTCTAGTTATATTTCAGTGATCCTAATTCCAGGGAGAAGACAAATTGAGCCTCTCTATAGTAGAAACTATTAATTATTTAGAGGCTAGTGCATGATCCAAAGGTGCCACAAGATTATAATAAAACTCCACTCATGTACCCAGAACTATATTGGGAATGAGGTGGAAGAGGGAGGTAGACAATCTGAGAAAGATTGTGCATTTTCCTATAAGAGACTGTGTCATCTATAACAATGTCACTCAAAGTGTGGTCCAAGGGCCAATGCCAGTTCACAAACTGTTCCTGTTCAGGGGTGAGGTAAATACAGATGAAAGTTCATGTTTAGAAACTTTTATCATAAATTGATATTGCCATGACATCCTAGTATGTGATCAGTGGACTGATCTTGTTAAACAGGATATAACCAGTTCAGATGGCACTGGCATGGTGAGTTGCTTCTTGCAAAGGCTGGTGATGCACAGTAGGACTATGTATTTGGTCCATGACTGGAAAAATCAATCAGTTTGAGGAGCATTAATCTAAAATACTTTTTAAATAATCTCTTTTGGATATGAAATAAACTGAATAGTTTGAAGCAGAGGTTCTCAAAGTGTGGTCTGTGGACCAAAAATGTCAGCATCACCTGGGAACTCATTAGAAATGCAAATTCTAGGGCTCCACCTTAGAGGTGCTGAATCAGAACCCCTGGGAGCAGACCCAGTAATCTGTGTTTTAACAAGCCCTCCAGGTGATTGATGCATGTTTGCATGTCTGATTTTAAGAACTACTGGCTTCAATGCTGAAAGTGAAAGAAGTTATGTTCAACCTAGAGAAGAATGAAACACTATTAATTAAGTGTAAATTATCCCTGCCAGACTGCAGAGCTGGAGCCCATGAAGAAGATCAGACCAGGTAGGAAAAAAGAAAGAAAAGTAAACTTTCTCTGCATACTGTAAATGATATGCAAGTGGATGAGGTCGAGATATAGAGTTGAACAGTTTTAATGGGTGATCATTTTGGATTTTTCTCTACAAGCTTACTATTGTGGCTCCACATCTTTTTTTAGAAGGAGTTTCTCTCTTGTTGTCCAGGCTGGAGTGCAATGGCGTGATCTCAGCTCACCGCAACCTCCACCACCCAGGTTCAAGCAATTCTTCTGCCTCAGCCTCCCAAGTAGCTAGGATTACAGGAATGCTCCACTACACCCAGCTAATTTTGTATTTTTTTGTATAGACAGGGTTTCTCTGCGTTGGTCAGGCTCGTCTCAAACTCTCAACCTCAGGTGATCCACCCACCTCAGTCTCCCAAAGTGCAAGGATTACAGACGTGAGCCACTGTGCCTGGCAGGCTCCACATTTCTAAGTATAACCCACTTCCCACCCCACATCAACCTATAATTGGTAAAAATAGAGTCACAGTACTAATAACAGGGGAGTATTTCTCTACTTTATTCTTACCATACAATTGCTGGCTTTCTTCACATTCCCTATTAATAGCTCAGGAGGTCCCCTTGGCTAGTTTGTGTCAGACATCTCTCTCTCTCTCTGCCTGGGTTGCTTTCCATCCCTAGTACTCTTAGTATATAACCTTCTCCAGAGCTTCTGCTCCTTCCCAGGCAAGGTTGATCTGGTTTTAACTTAGTATCTGGTCAACCTGGATATTAGCCATATTACAGCCCAGAGGAAGTTATTTCTGGTCTCTATTTGGGCTCCATTATTTATTGTGGGTTGCCACAGGATCTTTTGAGACAAACTCTAATGTGCATACAAGTCACTTAGGGCTCTTATTTATGTGCAGATTCTGACTCAGCAGGTCTAGGATGCCTGAGTACCTGCATTTCTAATAAACACCCAGGTGAATCCTACGCTGCCAGTTTCTGGACAATATTTTGAGAAGCGTGGTTGAGAGCAGCGATCTTTCTACTTTTATCATGCCTTTTCCCCAGGTCTTTAACACAGGTTAAATGGCAGAGTCTTAAGGTGACCAGTTGTCCTGGCAAATCAGGATGACTCGTCATCCTAGCTATCTGGATTGGTCATGCTAGCAATCTGAACAGCTCACCTCCTGCCTCTCTCCTCCATCTCCTTCCCAACTGACCCATGATGCCTCTGTCTTGACTCTCTCCTCCTTAGGATAAATGTTTCCCTTGAGGCTCTTCACTTTTTCCTCCATGTAATGTGCTTTCCTTTGGCACATCTGTTATCGACCAGCCCTAAAGACATAGGTGTTTGCAGCCAGTGCAGTTGGCTGAGTACTACTTGGTGTAGTCTTAGCTGCCTACTTTAAACCAGTCTGGAAGGCTCCATTTAATGTTTCCCCAAGTTGGTCAGGACTAAAGTCTTACTGCTCTCTCTGCAGATAGTCTGCTCTCATTTTTTAGTCTGCTTTCATTTTTTTTCCACATAAACATTCTCATCCTGCCTGGCCTCTGCAGACCAAGTGGGTTTCCCCAGTGCCTGAAAACAATGCTTGTTTTGCTTTGCCTCTTAGGTAAGTATGGAGATATTATCTGGAAATAGGAAAAACCAAAATCTTCATCTCTGGAGCTTGGCAAATACAGTGTGTTTTCCAGTACTTCTAACTGTCCTTTCAATGCTGAAGTCATAGATATTGTAGGTACAACCTCCTGCTTCATCATCCTAGAAACAGGGCTGTGATTATGTCCACCCACAGCTGAAAATCTTCATTAGCACTGAACTTACAGTAAAATAATTTCCAAACTCCCCACCTCAATGCAAAGTCGTGATTCTCAAAACTTTGCTATGCATCAGAATGACCAAGAGGGAAACAGACTGCTGGGTCCCACCCTGAGTTTCAGATTCATAATTCTTTTTGCATTTCTAACAAGTTATCAGGTGGCACTGACACTGCTGGTCCACAGATCACATTGTGAGAACCACTGACCCATTCTAGCTAGCCATATTCACATTCCTAACGCCCAGTTCTAGTTCATACTTCCTAAAAGAACCCCTCGTTCTCATATTGCTTATATTGTGTGCTTTCCTATTCCATACCTTTGTTTAATTAATTTATTCACCTATAAATTTATTCATTCAACCAATGATTAATTATTTCACCAAACATTTCTCAAATACCAAAATGATTGGCTCTGTCAAATTCCATCATGAAATTTATGGCACAAGGGAGAAAAGGAAAAAAGATACCCTTTTCATTTATAGAGTGCTTCTCGGTTTCCAAAGAGCTTCCACATCCAAGCTCCCATTTGATCTTCTCCAGAGTCCTGAAAGACCAACAGGGCAGGGATTATTCTACATCTCTTACAAGTGAAGAAGTTGAAGCCTAGCAGGGAGAAGTAGGTCATCCAAGGTAATGCCAGCCTGTATTTCCAATCCGGGGACAATGGCTTTTCTCTCAATTACACTACAGTGTGCCTCCCCTCAGCATGTGCAGGGGATTGGTTCCAGGACTTCCCGCAGCATACCAAAATCCCAGTATATTCAAGTGGACTCTGAGGAATACACATGGAGGAAAAGTTGGTCCTCCCTACACATGGGTTTTGCATCCAGCAAATACTAAATTTTCGATCCACTTTTGGCTGAAAAGAATCTGCTATAAGTGGACCCGCACAGTTCAAACTTGTGTTGTTCAAGTCATGCTTTAGTCATGGCTCACTGTATTCCCTCACTCCTTGTTTTCCAAATTATACCGATTCTTTAAAGCCCAAACACCACCTACTCCATGAAACCTTTTCTGGTAACCCCAGTTAAAATAACTTTTCCTGCTTAAAACTAAGACAGTGCTTTATTTTGTCTCTCAAATGGCATTAAAACAAACAAACAAACAAAAAAAACCTCCCTTTCTAGATGCCAATGTCCTTGAGATCAGAACAATACCTGACTCTCCTTTGTGTCTCCCATAGCACTCAGTTCTTGGAGTTCATAGTGGAAATTTGATAAAGGACTGAGAAATGAAGGATGATGAGAATTTTACCTGTTATTAAAGTTTATTCATAAGATAATCAATGAAGGATATAGGTAAAAATAAAAGTAAGGCTGTCTGTTATCTTTTTCTCTCTACCTCCATAAATGAGGGTGAGAAGGACTAGCATTAATTAAGTGCTTGCTGGGTGCCAGGTGTTTTATGTTATGGCATTTTTGCCCTCATAACCTAATAGACGAATAATAGATCAATACAATTATGATTTTCAAGGAGAGGTACTGACGCTCAGGATTGCTTAGAAATTTGCCCAAGTTCAGACATTGAACTCATGTTAGAGAGGGAAGCAAATCCAATTCCATTTAAACTCTTGTGGCAAAATAAACACATGAAATTGCTTCTAATTATACTACGACAATAAGAAATTATCCAGTATTTACCTGTATTAAAAAGCGATTCACATGCGCCAGTAATCTTAAGGTCGAGATGTTTTTTTCACCTTTTTACTGCTTTTTTACTGATTTACTACTTGCTGGTTGAATCCTTTGATCCACTTTTTCAAGAAGGAAAACACAATTTCGCTACTACCAGACTCTGCTTCTTCATGTGACCAGTTATCACTGGTTGTGAAATGCTGGCCTGAGACTTAGATGTAAATCTGTCTTAATAATTACTATTGTGTCATAACAGAACTTTCCTGTTAGAAAAGAGTGTGGAAGGTTTGGGGTAAATCCTGGAATGGGTTAGGGGAGGCATAAACACAGAAATGCCTTCATGAATAAGACTGAAAGGAATAATAACTTCAGCAAAAATGAAAAATACATTAAAGCATTGTGTTAAATATTTACATATGATAGAGCTGAGAATTATTGGGAAGTTTAACCCAAGGACTTGGCTAATGAATATCAGATGGACTTAATGGAGGCAATTAAAACGCAGACAGTATTAGTGAAATGGTGGACTCACCTATAAGGATTCACATGCGGGTTCTGCAGCTAACTTCTTCCGAGAGCAGAGGCCTGCAATATCATGAAAACCAAATCAACACATTAACAGTGACCGTCCTCACAGATGTATGAAATGCCAATTTGTATGCCTTCCTCTTACAGGCACTGCAATATCTTCCCTAGTAAAACCTGCCAGTTCCATTGGTAGGGTGTTACAAGGTCTTATTTCACCAGACATTAAGATAGCTAACCATAAGTCTTGGTAACCTAGCAGACACACATATTCATTTTTAAAGAAATAACTTCAAGTAAAGAGGGAATTCAACCAAAAGCTTCCAAAGATTTTGGATATGCCAGGTGGAACAAAGAGTTTTAAAGCACATTTCTAGGCTCTCTGGGGTGTTTAATTCACAAAAATTCCTTCATAGCAATTCTTCTATTTTTTTTTCCCATTTATTTATTTTATTGCATTTTAGGTTTTGGGGTACATGTGAAGAACATGCAAAATTGTTGCATAGGTACACACGTGGCAGTGTGATTTGCTGCCTTCCTCCCCATCACCTACATCTGGCATTTCTCCCCTTGCTATCTCTTCTATTGTTATTCAGCCTGACAGGTAAAAAGTCATGCTTGAAGAGACAGACAGAATTGGTGACACTGATACATCTTTTCTCTAATTCAGTACTGATAATGTTAATGTAATATTGCTTTCAGTAGACAGTTTTCAATCTCACATGTACGTATACTTAGAGATGGGACACAAGCAGGGAGCCTGAGCTTACTGTAACTTAAAGAGCACATCAGATATTTGATTTTGGTCACTGCCTCTGGGAAAGAATTCAGAAACAACCCTTCAGTCAATGGCAGGTAGGTTCTTAGAAAGCTCAGTATTGGGGAATTCATAATAAGGATCAATAAAGATCCACATACAGAAATGAAACTTACTAATAGATGTGCCCATCTGAGAACCAGCTGGAGAGAACTGTCATTTTGCCTGGTCACCAAGGGGCTCTGAAACGATAAAGCTTTGGTAGTAAAATGACAATAACTACAAAATAGCTTATGCTTGCATATTTTCCAAGGAATAAATAGTGTTCTAAATAATTTAATCCTTACAATCACATTATTAGGTAGTTGCTACAATTACTTTCATTTTACAGGACAAACTTAGCAACAAAAAGTCAATAACTTGTCCCAGGTCACACTGTCTGATATTCATATTGCTATTTCTGATTTGGATGTGAACATGTTAGGCTAGAAAAAGCTTTGCCATTAAAAAACATTTCTGTGTCCTTTTTCTTTAAGTATGACTTTTTTTAAGCACCACCAAATCATTAGACTTTCACTTTAATTTAATCTAAGGATCTTTCCATTTGAATAGGAAAATTTAAGCCATTTATAATTGTCATATTTTTAAGTTTGATTGGACATAAACTTTCTTTTCTTCAATAGTTCCTTATTGTGTTCTTTCCATTTTGTCTTTTAATGAACTATGTTTGTTTTTTATCTTTGATAATTATTTAGAAAATAGCCTGTTTTCAATTCAACTAGTGCCTACATTAAATTGTCTACAACTATCCTTATATGCATCCTTATTCAATGACTTGGAAATAAAGCAACAATGCTGCTTCTTGTAATGCTTTCATTTCCTTCATCTTCTCTTTCCGCATTGTGATCACTAGGTATAGATGCTTTATTTAAAAATGTAAAACCCTACAAAATTATTTTATTGAAAACATTACTCCCTTAGTAAAAAATATCTAGCTATCAGCATCAATTCTCAATTCACTTTGATTTCACTACACTTCACTTATTTTGTCTTTGCCTTCAAGGCTTAGTATTAATCTTTTTAACTGGAGTTCCTTATTCTTGAGTTTTTATACTATCTCACCTCTCAGTGATCTGGACAATATTTCTCTGCAATTTTTGCAGAAAAGAGTTTCGGTTGTTATATTCTCTGATGCCTGGAAGACTTTGTTATTCTGTTGCTTTTATGCATAAGTTGATAATTGGGTAGTCGTACAACTTTTTATGGAACAACTCCATTTCTACACAAATAGGTCTAGTTCCAAATACACCATCGTGTTAAAACTAATGCTAGCTGATACCATGCAAATGATGTAGCTTAATGCATCACTGGTGTTATCTCCAATTCCATTTATAAAATGTCACAAAGTAGAAGAAGTCATTGAACTCTCATACAGAAATAACCAGTTTCTAGCATACTTCAGACTTGATTCTCTTAAAATTATGTAGACATTTACCTGTGTTCTTTAAAAAGTTCTTCTTCTATATAAGAAAGATGAAGGCAATCTACAAAAGCATATATGTTTTTCCTTCACATGTACTTTAAGAAATTTTCTTCGTCCCAGAAATTTAAAATTTTATTTACTTATGTCTTGCATTTATCTCTATTCCTTAATTTTGCTCCAAAGAAACCTTACAATGTCAATGTAATTGTTAGATATGGAAAGTTTACTTTTATGATAACTTTAATTTTTACTTCTGATCCATCTTCTCTATTTTTAAAACACTCATTATTTTATTTATAAATTCAAGAAAAGAATGTTTATTTAACAATAACAGAATACACTATATGTTAAGCTATCTCTTTGGGGTAGTGTAACAAGAAGATGTTTATTGCCATTAAGCAGCTTCTATTCTCAATTAGAATTCCATAATCTGTCATCTAATTACCTCTTATCCATTTAACTCTATTCATTTCCTTAGATGTTAAGACTAGTTATAAAGTTTTCCTCTATCTCTGATTCCTATTTCTGCAAAACAGAAGTTTCATTTACTACATTTTTTCATTTGGTCAATTTATCATTAATTAAAAACAATATAATGTCTCCTATATTGTTATGATTACATTCCTAAGAACATTTGTATTATCAAATTGGTATTATAAAAACGATTATTTCAAGGGGAAAGGAGGCTAGGGAGCCAAAGAGTTTCAACTGTAAAACAATAAAATAATTTTGGCTAGGCACAGTGGCTCACCCCTCTAATCCCAGCACTTTGGGAGGCTGAGGCGGGCAAATCACCTGAGGTCAGGAGTTTGAAATCAGCCTGGCCAACATGGCAAAACCCTGTCTTTACTAAAATTAAAAAATTTAGCCTGGCATGGTGTGAGCACCTGTAATTCCCACTACTCAGGAGGTTGTGGCAGGCAGAATTGCTTGAACCTGGGAGGCAGAGGTTGCAGTGAGCCAAGATCGCACCATTGTACTCTTAGCCTGGGTGACAGAGCAAGACTCTGTCTCAAAATAATAATAACAATAATAATTTTTAATACAGTAATCTCAACAATAAATGTTTCTATACCTCTAAACGTTTTAAACTCAAATTACAAGTAATAAATTGGTCTATGAAAACAAGCATATACAATTCTAAACATTACTGATCAAGTAATGGAATATTTAAAATGTAAAATAAGATCAGATCTTAGACAAGAAGTTTCCAGGACCATAAAACAAATTACATCACTGTTTATGACTGCCCACTGTAAAGATTCTAACACTAATTGAGCAACCAAACGTATTCCAATTTTTTTTTTATGGAACAACTTCATTTATATGTGAATAACTCTAGTTCTAAATATGCCATCATGTTAAAACTAATAATACCTGGTAAAATGCAAATGATGTATCCTAATGTATCAATGGTGTTATCTCCAATTTCATCTATAAAAACCTTAAGAAGTAAAAGTGATTGAACTCTCATTTGGAAACAACCAGCGTTTCTGGTACACTTCATGTATGGGGATGTTAATTGCTGCACCTCCAAAAGCTGCAAGTTGACCCCACCACATGGGAACCCAAGATGAAAAGAACCCATGCTATCAGTGTGCTGCCATGAAATTCTCCTTTTCCTGTAAGTTCACAGAGTCAGCTTCTGGAACTTACAACCAGAAAATAAAGGAGAAAACAGAAAAAATCAAAGGAAAAATACTTGTGTGGTGCTAACGCACAAAGCTCAAGAAGACATCAGAGGGGAAGCTCTTCACGTTTGACCATTAAAATGCAGAAATAAAGTCCTGGCCAGGAGCAATGTTCACTCTGTTAGCAGAGGAAACTCTCAAGATATGCCAAGGTCAGCAATACAGAAGACCATGTGATAGGGTTTGGCTGTGTCCCCACCCAAATCTCATCTTGAATTCCCACATCTTGTGGGAGGAACCTGGTGGGAGGTAATTGAATCACTGGGGCAAGTCTTTCCCATGTTGTTCTCGTGACAGTGAATAAGTCTCACAAGAAAGAGGAATTCCCCTGCACAAGTCCTCTCTCTTTGCCTGCTGCCATCTATGTAAGACATGACTTGCTCTTCCTTGCCTTCTACCATGATTGTGAGGCTTCCCTAGCCACATGGAACTCTTAAGTCCAATTAAACCTCTTTCTTTTGTAAATTGCCCAGTCTCAGATATATCTTTATCTGCAGTGCAAAAACAGAGTAATACACCACAGGAGCACATTAGTGAGCAAACTGGAATTGAAGAAGCAGACCCTCCATCCCTCCCAAAAAATATTCTTATTTCTTATATTTTCGTTGTTGATAGTGGTTTTTTTTTTCAGATGGTTCTAAAGCTTTTAAAAAGTAATTCAGTAGAAGAGTGTTCATATACTGAAACTCACTTTGTGTCTTTCTAGAAGTCCCCCAAATTGGAATCTTAAAATATGCATATTAGGATAAAAAACAGCTTAAAAACAGTTTTGTTAAATAAGTCTATTTTTTAATTCAATGAATGATTTTAAAAATTAGCTTCATTGTTTTTTAATTTTACCATCTGTTAACTCAATAAATATGAGTTCTTAAAGATATCCTAATTGACTTGGAATTCGCTGTCTTTGAAGTTGATTAAAATTATTTAAATTAATTTTATTGTATATCCAGACTAGAACAAATCATGTCTGCATTTGAAGAGATCTTGGCTAATAATTTATAAATAAATGTGCCCATTTGTAAAATGAACCATTTTGGTTTATGGCCCTTAATATGTATTAGTCAATATGCAGGCATGCAGAGAAGAGATGCTATTAGATAATCAAAGAGGTAGAAAACCAACACAACAATAATTGTTGCCATTAAAAACTGTGACCAAATACAAAATTTTTGTGAACTCTTGTCTCATGTCTAATGAAGAGAAAATGTAGAGTGAACATCAACTGAGATACAGTTTGTTTTCACTCTACACTACTACAGATAAAAGAAAATGCTGTTTCTTTAAACACCATCCTGTCTCTGGTCACAGTTTATTGGAAAAAGGGTGGTCACTGGACCCAACCAGGCCAATCAGACTCTTCCCTGAAAATTGTGAAAGAAAGGAAAATGGTCTTTTCTCAGGGTGGATCGACTGAAGCATCCATGGCTGAAGAACAATTGGAAACCATGATTTGCTGTATGAACTGAGGAGCAGGGGAGCTGAACTGCTATAAGGAAGAAAGACAAGGATGAGATATGGAGAGAAAGAATTGACTTGGTTCCCTGTAGCACTTCAATAGTTCTTCTGTTCCTAAGGCTGTATTGCATCCTGATTTTGGATTGCATGAAAATCCCCAATGTGCTTTGCTTAAGCTCACAGAGTCAGCTTCTATCTCTGCACTGCACCCTGGGTGACAGAGTGGGTCCCTGTCTCAAAACAACAAACAAAACAAACAAAAAACTTGAACTAAATGCACAAGAGAGGAAGCCCTTCTAATAGTGATGTTTGTTTAATCAGAGATTTCCAGACATCACTCTTCACTCTGCTTTTCTTTAGATAAACATAACTTTTAAATTTAATTAATCTTAGAAATGGGGTCTTGCTATAATGCCCAGACTTGACTTGAACTCCTGGGCTAAAGGGATCTTCCTGACTCAGCCTCCTGAGCAGCTAGGACTACAGGCACATAACACTGCTAAGTTTTAAATTTTAACATGTAATTTACCTAATTTTTATAGCTACTGTTTTCTATGACTCATCTAAGAAATCTTTGTCTATCTATAACTTACATTATGTTTCCCTATAAAAG